CCCTACGCTCGAGCGGGGTTTGCAAACCCTCAGTATTTTGTGCGTCTGCAAAAGTGTTGGAGGAGTGTCTTTAACGCTCGAGCGGCGTTTCCTACGCTCGAGCTGGTGGGCGCTCGAGCGGTCCTTCTTGTGCTCAAGTGGTTGGTTTGTTGTTTGCAGAAGTTCTGGAAGTGTGTATTCTGCGCTCGAGCGGGCCTCTTCTTGCGCTTGAGCGGAACAAAAGTTTGTGTCTGACGCTCGAGTGTCAAACTCTCCGCTTGAGCGGACTGCGCGTATATCAGATCGCGAAAAGCACTTTTTACATCACTTTTCATATCTTTTCAGCCAAAACCCTAAAGTTGAGAGCCTCTCTATCTAAAACACACTCTCTCTCTCTCTCTCTCTACATTTTGGCCTAGATTCTTTGATCTCCTCACCCTACTCCCTTTGATAAAAGTTGGAGCTTCTCAAGATCTTCTCTTTGAACCGATTAAAGTTGGATTTCGGCACTTTTGGGGTTTCTCTTTTTCTTGGCTCATCTTCTCTCTTTGAGATAGGGATATTCTATACTTTGGTATGACTTTTAACCTAGTTATTTGGTATTATGTATAAATGGTGAAATCTTGGGAGTTTTGGATAAACCTAGGGTTTGGTTTTAAATTGAAAATAAGGGTTTTGATATTGTGCTTCATAGATGAATATGGGGGTTTGAATATAAGGGTATCTTGTGCTAAAATGGTGGACCTTGGCCTTTGGGTTGATATTTGAGAAATGGGGGAAATTTGCCCTAATATGTGTTAAATAATTATTTTGCATAAATAATGAAATTGATATGTGAAATGTGAAATTGGGAGAATGTGTAAATAAATGGTGTAGTTGGATTCGTTAAATCACTAACATATGGAAATTTGATAAGTTATCTGTTATAAAGATTGTATATCTATTTAAAAATATTTGTATTGGGCTATCGGGGGAGGATAGCTATGATTGTTGTAGAAATGGTATGATGATTAGGTGAATTGAAACTAATCATTTAAGTTTGTCATTAAATATGACGGTATGATTATGGCATTGAGTATGTGATATGGATAGTTATTGTATATGATGATGGATTTAAATACATTGTATATGTATAATGTTTTGGGAGAAAAAATGGGATGTACTCCATTGTTTGGGAGGAGATAGGGGATGGACTCTATTGGGAATTAAGTTTGCCGGAGTGTCCAGAGTGAAAGTCCCGAAATCTTATGAATACATGGGTGCCAATCCCGCGAACGAAATTTCCGTAAAATGACAAGGTTGAAGTGTTTGTATGATGGTTATATGGATAGGGATCCACTGAGTCGTAGTCTCAGTTGGATCATTTGGAAAATCATTTATATTTTCCATATGACTTGGAATGAAATGAATTAACTCGAAATGAATAAATGAGAATGGATTGAGGTATGAATATCAATAATGAATGGTTATGGAAAGAATGTAAGTTAATCATGAATATTGGACATTTATCTGGCACTTATATCTTAGTTAAACTTCATACATTGTATTAGACTGTTTCTACTAGGCTTTGACTCACCCTACTTGGGAAACCATTTTCAGGTACTCGTGACATGCCACCTCCAAGGACATAGCTTGGGAGGATTGAGGGCTGAAGGCTCCATTTTTGTTATATTTGAGCTTATATGTTAATTCAAGCTAAGGGTTTAACTTGTATAGAGCGTATGACTTTTTCTTTTGTTGTAACCAAGTGATGTCTTGGAAAAATGTAAGTCTGTATGGCATTTATTTTGTTATCGTTAATTTGAATTACATGTTATAGATTCATAATGAATGTTTATGAATGTATAATGCATGTAATCCCCTTTTGTAATAGAAACTCTGATGAATGAAGTAGATCATTTTATTATGTTCTTAGATCTTCTGGAATGGATTGTTATATTATTTTGGGGGCGTTACACAAATGGTGGTAGAGATTTGAAAATGAACAAGAGGTCTTGTGGAGGAAAGTCATCTGTGCAAAGAACAATGTGGATCAAGCTGGTTGGCCACCATATCAATCAACATTCAGACATTGCTCAGTTGTGTGGAAGAATATTTCCTCTCTAGAAAGGTACAATTCCTAAATTCTCAACCTATTTCTCAAAAACATTCAACTTCAGCTAGGAGATGGGAATATAATCAAGTTCTGGAAAGATGCTTGGATCTCAAATCCACCTCTATCAGAAATCTATCCTAGATTATTCTCACTAGCATTAGATAAGGACTCATGTGTTTATCACTTCATGCATCATGAAGATTCAACCAACCCACCTTGGATAATTCAGTATAGAAGAGATCTAAGAGGTTGGGAAGAGGAACTACATCAGAACCTCCTCACAAGACTGCAACTTCCATCAATTAATAGAAGAAGCAACAAAGATGCATCGATATGGAATCCACTACCCACTGGGTCATTTACAGTTAACTCTATTTACTGTTTCTTTGAGAACTCTCAACATCTCACATCCTTCCCTGTGATGAAGCTCTGGAAATCAATTGCACCACCAAGGACTAAAGCCTTTGGATGGCTTGCTTAGTGGGATCGGGCTGCCTCCTCTGAGCTACTTTTCAAAAGACACATCATTCCTGCCCCTATTCAATGCGCTTTCTGCGGATGTGAGGAGGAAACATCAAAACATATCCTACTGCACTGCCACTTCTCATGGACGATCTGGATTGACATTGCAAAGGGGGACTTACGTGTGGGTTGTGAATTTATTGTCCAGTAAATCCTATGAGAATTAATAATGTTTTTTTTTATCAAAACACTATTTAAAAACGTCACTAATTGTTAATTTTAAGTGATAGTTTGAAAATTTTATCACAAAAAATATTACTAATTATAAATTTTAACTACAGTTCAAAAAAATTGTTACAAAAAAAGTCACTAATTTTCAACTTTCAGAGATAGTTTGAAAAATCCGTCACAGAAAAACGTCACTAATTGTATGTTTAAGCAACAATTAATAAAAACCGTGACAAAAAAGTCACTAATTGTCAATTTTTAGTGATATATGCAAAAAAATCATCAGAGAAAATATCCAATTAAGTTTAACTATCAAAGACATGTTTACCCCATTGCAAAATGGTGGGGTTTAGTTTGGATAGCTCCAGGGTCAATACAAGATCTGCTAGTATGGTCGTAATGGAAAAGTATTTAACAGTAAAGAACCAGCTTGGGATGAGATTGTGGAAAGTATAAAAATCAATGTTACAATATGGGTGAAATTCTCAACTAATCCCAAAGATTATGAAATTCAAGATTTTTTGTTTTGCTGGGAGGGACTAAAGAGCATTAAGGTGAAAGGTTGCATCGAAAGAGGCTGACTGTGTTCTCAAACACACTCCAGCAGTGTTGTGCTCTGCTTCAATGCTGTGCTTTGCTTCAATGTGCTTTGTACCCGTCAGTTACTTTTGTTGTTTCTCGTTCTCTTGTTGGGCTATTTTTTCTATTGTATGGATTGGTTAGTGTTGTAATTTACATTGTCTTGTTGGTTCCTTACCAACCCTGATGGCGTGCTTGCACATGATTGGACATATATATCCGTGCTAATCTAATTAAGATCAATTTGTTTTGCAATTTTGTTGATTTATTATCTCCAGTTTCGTTAGTAAGCATCAATAAAGTTACCCCAATGGCGTGCTTGCACATGATTAGCCATATATATTGGTGGTAACCTAATTGAGATCGATTTGTTTTACAATGATGTACTACGCACCCATCCCTTTGTTGATTAATTATCTCCACCTTCGTTAGTAAGCATCAATAAAATTATCTTTTCTTGTTGATAAAAATAAAAAAAATAAAAAAAAATAAAGAATGTTATAAGCATGTGTACCATATGTAAATTATGACATTTATAAAATAACAATAATTGAGATCCAAAGGGATAAATTATGACATTTATAAAATAACAATAATTGAGATCCAAAGGGAGTCGTGGGGGTCTCCAAAAAATGAGGGTTTCAAACATTTTTCTTTATAAAATTGATTAGAAAAATGCTTGAGACTCCCATTTTTTGAAAAACCCCATTTGGATCTCCACCATTGCTGTATGTATGGGACCCACTCATGTATGCGTGGGGCTCACACCATTAATGGTGGAGATCCAAAGGGATTGTGGGGGCCCCCAAAAAATGGGGTCTCGATCATTGTTGAATTGATTATTACAAATATCATAACTCAATCCTATCAGAGTGATAATTAAAAAATAAATAAATTATAACCAAATACTACCTACGATATAATTAAAAGACTCTTAAATCATAATAAAAATAATATCATAATTAACGTTATAATGAACACCGAACGCTCAAATAGGTTATAATTAGGTTTTTAATTTTTAATTTTTTTATTTTAAAAATCATAATAAAAATAAAGCAATGATTCATGGCAATAAATAATGATACTCTAATGGAGCACTAATTTTGATACTCTAATGGAGCATTAATGACATGGCAATAAATAAAAAAAATAAAATAAAAACAAACTAAGACCAAAACATCACATCAGTGTGGGTGGAACCCACTACCAACTCATTAGCTCTACCTTTAGAGCTCAAAAATTAGAGGTTCAAAGCATTTTTCATAAAAATAATATCAACAGTATGATGAATCATATAACTAGATTGTACCTAGCGATGTATAAACATAGAATTTCCCATAAATAATAGGGTAAGGTGCAAAAACATCTGATATGTTAACTGTTTCAATTAAATAATGATACTCTAATGGAGCACTAATTTTGATACTCTAATGGAGCACTAATGACATGGCAATAAATAAAAAAAATAAAATAAAAACAAACCAAGATCAAAACATCACATCAGTGTAGGTGGAACCCACTACCAACTCATTAAATCTACCTTTAGAGCTCAAAAATTAAAGCTCCAAAGCATTTTTCATAAAAATAATATCAACAGTATGATGAATCATATAACTAGATTGTACCTAGCGATGTATAAACATAGAATTTCCCATAAATAATAGGGTAAGGTGCAAAAACATCTGATATGTTAACTGTTTCAATGCCATTTCTACGATTCACAGAAATGGAGACAAAAGACTTTCTCCTCTCTTTCTCTCTCCTTTTCCTTCTCTGCGCAAATCTGAATCGTATTCAAAATACTGTTTGAAGTAAGAGGTATTCTGATTGATTAAATCTCGGTCTCATAATTATTAGTCAAATTTTTCTGTTATCCACTGTTTCAGCTGATTTTCAATCCAAAAAATGTTGAAGCTCAGCTCAACGGAGGCCTGAATTGGATTCATTTTCTTGTTTTGAATCCATCTGACAAAGTTAAACTGACGAATCGAGAATCATCTGTGTTTTTATTATATTCTACCGCGATTCGATTTGATCTGTTTAGAAACGAAAGCTGAAAGTAAATTGGTGAAATTAGTGTGATGTATGGTGTTGGGGATTCAGGGGCGATTTCGAAGGACTCGAGTATGTTGTTTTCGTCCAATTTCAAGCAATCAGATGGAGAATCAATGATGAAGAGTAGAGATTCCATGAATTCCGATCTGTACCAACAACCTCAACAGCAAAATCGGAGCTCTGGTTTAATGCGGTACAGCTCAGCGCCGAGCTCGTTCTTTCATCATCATCATCATCATCAATCATTATCGTCGAGCCCTCCTGAATCGGAAGTCATGTTTGCGAGTTTCATGTCTTCTTCTAATGGCTCTGGTGGCGATTCTGACTCTCACGATCTGCAAATTCAGACAACGGCTATGAAGCACGAGCCACCAGAGCAGAACAAGCAGTATTCAAGTTCTACTTCGACGCAGATGATTTACCAAACCGCACTAGATCACCATGATTTGGCTAATAATCATAGTAACTCCATGAGTAATAATTATAGTAATAATCTGGAGAATCCGATGATGCAAGGAAAGACGACGACAAGTGGTAATTGCTCGAATCTGATCAGACAGAGCAGCTCTCCGGCTGGATTTTTCTCCAACTTGACCGCTGCTGCAGGAAATGGTATTGTTCTCTACATCTTCATCCTCTTGTTTTTTAACTTTAGTTATTATTTTACTTTTCCTAGTTCTCTTGTGTTTACTCGGTCCTGAATGTTTCTCTTCACACTATTGAATTGGTGCTAGATAACAAAACAGAGTAATTAAGCTGGAAAAAAAGTATCAAGGATTTTTGGAACTTTTGTTTTGTCAAGATGAGTTGACTTTGAGCTTCTGTTTGGATCTGAGGGAAGGATGCCATGGAAAATACTGAATAGCCATGCTTAAAAAACACGCCACTTTTAAGTTTTTTTCTTTTTTCTTTTGCACTGGAGAGGGAAGGAATGGTAGTTGCCAATCTATTGGGGAAAAAAAAAAGAAAAAAAAAAAAGAAAAAAGAAAAAAGAAAAAGAAAGAAATGTTTAAAGAAAACAAAACAAAATCAGCTAGAAGACCAAATTATGAGAATGAATGATGGAGATCTCTGTAAACTGAATTTGTGCAAGATTGAGAATTGGATTCCCAAGCCCACCCATTATACAATGCCTTTGGTAGTGAATGGAAGTGTGTCATGTGTAGATAAGTTTTTATGTTCATTCAAAATGGCATTTAAGGAGCTCTGATTCTGCACTTGCCAAATATGTCTCAAGCAATTCTTTTCCCATCCGGGATTAATTTGAAAATCGATAGTAGTTTTCAATTCCATTTGCATTTGTCTTGTTTATTACTTGGGAATCGTTTGCTAAAGACTTTTAAATAAATTGCAGGATTTGGTATTGTGAGAGATGTGGGAAATGGAACCGATGGGAAAGAAAGTGCAACAACTAGGTTGAATGATCATATAAACTTCTCATCTGGGCCTGCTTCTTGCTCAAGGTTCATGCCTCAAATCACTGAAAATGGAAACAAAAGCATAGAGGCAACTAGCCAAATGAATGGGCACTTGGGTAGTAGTAATGGCAGCAATAGATTTTTTGTATCCAGCTTTGAAAATGAGTGTTGGAATGATTCTGGGTTTACTGGCCTAAAAAGAAGCAGAGATGGTGATGAGGTCAAGTTTTCTGGCTTCAATGCATTGGAAAGTCATCAGGTAGCATTTGTAGATCATAAGTAATTGTTACTGTTTCCACTTGAGCTTGTTTGTCACTCAAAATGTGTTTTTGGCTTATCAGAATGGAGAATATAGAAATTACACTGCTACTGGTTTGACTCACCACTTGAGCTTGCCAAAGACTTCTGCTGAAACGGCTGCCATAGACAAGTTTTTTCAATTTCAACAAGACTCTGTCCCCTGTAAGATCCGGGCCAAAAGAGGCTGTGCGACACACCCACGAAGCATTGCAGAGAGGGTAAAATTCTTCTGCTGCTGTTTTTTTAAAAAGGGATTAGTTTCTCAAGATGTCCTTGTGTTTCTTTTGCGCGAGCCTTGTCACCCAATCTAACAATAATCATTTGTTTGATATGCTTTTCGGGTTTTGGTTCCAGGTGAGAAGAACAAAAATTAGTGAAAGAATGAGGAAACTACAAGAGCTTTTCCCAAACATGGACAAGGTACATAACAACTTTTTATTGCGCGGGATCCTCTGTCCGAAGATCTGTCTGTCCGCCCCTCTGTATCAATGCACTCACAGCTGCATTATGGTGTTTGGTTGAGTTTTCCGAATCCATTCTCTGAATGTTTGGTGAAAAAATAAATTAATTAATAACTCATTATTTTTAGTTGGTTTTCAGAATCCGATTATTATTTTTTGAAAATTAAAAGTCATGTTTAGTTCGAATTTTTTAATATATTTTAATTAATTTTTTTGTACTTTTAGATGTACTTAATCTAGATGCATCTTAAAAATGAAACAAATTGGCTAAACTATTTTTAAAAAATTACTAAAAATAAAAAATCACTAAAAATAAACGAAAAACTGAACAAACAACTGTGTGCATTTTTTTTTCATAATTTAGCTGAACTTTTTACTTTTCTAGATGCATCTAAAAAATAAAAATAATTGACTAAAATATGAAAAAAGTTCAATAAAGATAAACTCCGTTTAAAAATAGGTTCTGAAAATGTAATTTTGTCAAACCAGTTAATAATTTTTTTTTTTTAAATTCCAAAAAAAAAGTTCTCAAAACTCAACCAAATACACTGTCCAGGCTGCTTTCTAGATTCAAGTAGCCATGCACATTTCACTTGAAAAGTAGTCCATAATTAGAAACTCAAATAATCTTCTTCACTGTCTTTCAATTGGCAGCAAACAAACACAGCAGATATGTTAGATTTGGCAGTTGAGTACATTAAAGACCTTCAGGAACAGCTTAAGGTATGTACATACACACCCAAAAGAAATCAAACCAACATGAATGTCTAACCAACTTTCTATATTTCCCTCTACTCAAATTTATTGCTTTTTGGTGCAGATACTCACGGACAAACAGGCGAAGTGCACGTGTTCGAGTAAGCAGAAACAATTTTCAAATCCTGCCTCATGACTTGCTCGTGTACAGATAATAATATGAATCGAAAAAGGTGGAAATGAAAAGGATATAGCAGATCTAACTAATCTTTTTTTGTGAATGCACTTGTATGTGTAATTCAAATTGTAATAACTCTGTTTAGTTGAGAGAGTTTCAACCAACTTCAGATGATACATGCTTTGCTGGTTGTACCTTAAGTTGTAAGGTGGGCCAAATATTTTGAATTATGGAAGGAGATAATGAATAGATTTAACAAACCTGATCTGATATGGGATTAGATGACTTGTGTAAGAATAATACTAGGCATCATGAAAAAAAAAATCATAAAATGTTTCATGAAAATTTTTCATCCTTTGATTAGTGTGTGGTGTTTTATTATATATATAATCCAAAGGTGGATAATATTTCATAATCATGTTCATGATATTTTTTTCATGATCCCTAACATTACTGCTTATGTCAATTATATTTTTTTATGGTGACTAGTAGAACTTTGATCCTATCCATTTCTTATATGTAAGGGAAGGTTTCATTACATAACTAATCACTATAAAATAAAAATGCAAATTTATAATTAATTTTAATTAAAAAAGAGCACTACACTCACCGTTGGATGATAGAATGAAGCCTCTCCATTACAAATATGTAATGGAGATATGTGCCATTTTTCTTCCAAAAAATAAAAATAAAAAATAGATTGACAAATTACTGACTAGGCCACATTAACAAAACTCTAATAATTGAGGGATCAAGTTGAAAAAAATTCAGCTATTAGTGACAAAATAAAAATTAAGTTATATGTTAACTTCTAGGTACATAGTATAATCAAGGGCAATTCTACACTACATCTATTTAAAATTTTACTAATAATCCTATTAAAAATATTCATGTCCAAATATTATTAGAGGTTTACATGTTATTATTTTTTTTGACGACCAATCATATTTGACCATTTGTATTTTTAATAAGATTATTAATGTGCATATGGGTGAATAGTATAACCTTTCTAATTAGTTAAAATAATGAATTTTAAATTAGATCCACTGCCTTTTGGTTTTTTGGCAAACAAAAAAAGCTTCACTTCATTTCATATAAAAAGAAGTACAAGAGATACTCACTCACCCTATTATTTTAACTAATCAATGAAAAGGGTATTATCACACATCCGTCAATTAAATTGATAGCCTTTCAAACTACATTTTATAGTTCAAAACGCAATATTATTTGATACTTTTATGTTGATTTAAGTATTTTTATGCACTAAAATGATGTAATTGAAAAGCTTTTGCAAGCTTAACTAAATAATTGGCAAACTTTGATTCCAACCGGGGAACTAATGTCACGACCCCAAACCGCCCCTAGTAGTTTAGTGCCGTGGTGGCCAGTAATCCGAGATTACCGAAGGCCAATTTTCAAAAATTCACACACAAACAGAGTATAATTATATATGGGGCTCACAAGTGCGGAAGCAATAATCTTAAAATACAAGTGGTCCATAAGAGCAGTGCGTAAGTTACATAGAATGGCATACAACTTTACATATCATTACCACTTGGATACAAATACAATAAGGTACAAAATACATTTACATCTTGATCAAAAGGCTTCTCCAGCAGACATGTGTAAATTACAAGCATTATAAGCCGAGAAGCATAGTTTTCAAGACTGCCGACATGTAAACAAGTTAAGCCGACATAACAAAAATCCAAAACAAGCTTGCGAGTTGCACCTAGGCGTCACCACCTTCCTGCTCATCACCTACATATATATAGAGAGGGTGAGCTTGGATACTCAGTGAATGGTATAAGAAATAAAGGGTTTGCATGACTGGTATTCAAGATCTTTATCAACAATACATAACATAATTAGTGCAAGTCAAGGGATGAACCAAGTCCATCTTCCAAATCTGTCAAGTTTCAAAGGATGCTTACTAACATCATTATAATACAAGTGATGACATCTCGGCAAACAAAACCCACGCGGTAAACCATCAAGGGCAAACAAGACAAGACAAGGGAGATATCTCAATTCAATGGTGTCGTTGCATTATAGTCCCCGGACACTAAGGACTTGTGCTACTAATGCTTAGAGTCCCCTAGCACGTACGGACTTCCAAACTTTGTGCTACAAATGCTTATAGTCCCTTAGCACGTACGGACTTCCAAGAATGTCATCAAAACAACTTACAGTCCCTTAGCACATACGGACTTCCAAACTTGTGCTACAAATGCTTATAGTCCCTTAGCACATACGGACTTCCAAGAATGTCATCAAAACAAGATAATACAAATATATTTTCCAACTAG